TGGGCAGTAGATAATTAAAGGCAAACAGTGACTAAAGACCAAGAATACACTGAAAAGGAACAAAAGCAAATGCTCGAGGACATGACAAGCCAGAATTAGTGACAGGCCAGGACAGAGCTCAGTGGTAAAGCACTGCACAAGCACACTCCAGACCCTGAGTAGGAGCTCTGGGGTAGAGTCTGTGAACACCAGGCTCCGGGCTCTATGGAAGATCTCAGTGGGACAGTGGGTTCTATCACCACACCAGAGGGAATGTATTTTTAAATGCTGATAAAGCAAAACAATTGTTATGGATAAGTGATACAGGGAAGAAAAAAGAGTTAGATGCTCTAATACAAAGGATTGGCCATCACAGATGGACAAGTACCTCAACCTATTGAAAAGCATAAAGCAACAGAAAATATAAGAATGGAGGCTGAAGCAATGGATCCACAGGATAAGGGCAGATAAATGTATACCATTGTGATTATTACATACAGGTAATAATGATTATTCACCTTTATCTTTTTTCATTAGGAGATGGCAAGAAGTAGGAAGACATGTAAAACACTCAACAGGTCTTCAAGTATATACATGTCACTTATATCTGACATGCTCTCTATGTGAATTGTTTTTATATGTTGCCTGATTATATTTACTCTGGAAACAAATCAAACATTAGTTGAAGTATTACTTTAGTAACACCTGGTTATAAGGATCAAAGTCTCTCAAGCCATTGACAAATACTTAATCATATAGAATAATATTTTTCATTTTTCTTTCAATCAAGAAGAATAGTACATTAAAGGAACTCAAGCTTACAATTCCTAGCTTTGTAGTGTTAGAAGAACAAATTTCCTTTGTGATTAGTGGTGCTTCACCACACGTCATACTGACATTGAGGCTCATTCACCAAAGAATAACGCTGCTTACAGACTCAATAACAAAAACCACTGGGAAAAAAATTGCATGGCGGTTTTCTTTCCTCTTTCCCTTTCATTCTTTCCTTGTGTTTTGGTTTTGGTCCGGGCTGTGTATTGTTCTGGTGATGCTGTGGGTTGAACTCAGGACTCTACCCACATGCTCTCCCACTGAGCTATACCTGAAGCATACCGAACATTTAGACTAATCTGCAATCACAGGACCATCTTCTCTAGTTTGCAAGCTAGGCGATCAGTACTAAAATGTCTTTGTATAAATTTAACTGTCCAATAGACAGTACTATGAATATGACAGATTTCTCATTGAGAAAGAAACAGAGAGAGACAGACAGAGAAAGAGAGAAAGAGAGACTGAGAGAGAGAGAGGGGGGGGGAGGGAGAGGGAGAGGGAGGGAGGGAGGGAGGGAGGGAGGGAGGGAGGGAGGGAGGGAGGGAGGGAGGGAGGGAGGGAGGGAGGGAGGGAGGGAGGAGGGAGGGAGGGAGGGAGGGAGGATTTTCTAGAAATGAACAGCATCATCCTCTGGTGTGGTTCAGATCTCTTATAAGCCTGGAGGCAGCCCTCCATCCCTGCTCCATCCACCCTTGCTACTTCCTGCTGTGAGTCCAAACTTTCCTGTTCCTTTTGAGTTAAAGAAACTGTCACCTTTGAGTCTCACCTGCATATACCCGACATACACAGACACAGGCACACACAAATGCACACATATAAATTGAAAATAAATATTTAATAAATAAATAATAGACGTAGATCAAAGAAAAGGCCTGGCTGGGAAGGCAATGGAAAATAGGTAACAAAGACATCTGGAACTGATTAGATCTCAGTATGTTAAATGGCAACAGAAAGGAGCCAACCAAGTTAGAGAGGCTGAAAGCCTAGGAGGAAATAATTTATAGGATAGGGTTTCTAAGGAAGCTGGTAGAACAAGACTCAAAGCATATATGAAGAAAGAGTCTTCCACACTGAGGAAACAAACCAAACAGCAAGAACTCATGTATTTGTAGCCTACTGGAGCTCCCTGGCACATGCTACACCACCTAGAACAAGGCAAATGTGAGGGACAGAGGAGTATGGCAAGCAATTTCACCAGGAATGTCTGCATCCTCAGAGTAGAACACACAGACGAGACAAATTAGCCTCACAAATGCTCAAACTGCATTACAAAATTCCTTAGATAAATCCAAAACAACAGCAGCTAAAAGTCCATTTGATAGGGCTTCAGTGGCTTCCTTAATCTAGCTGGAATGTTTTTATTTATAAGTTAATTAGAAAAAGTGTTTTTATTTGAAAAACTGTCTAAAGTCCAACTCATATTTTTTGATACACACTAAATATATAATAATTTTGGGAAACATTCAGAAAAAGGTAAAGGATTTACATGAGCTGAAAAGACAGCAGAGTGACATAAATCTTTTAAAAGCTTATTTGGAAATAGTGAGAGGGGCTCAGTTGGTAAAGGTATTTGCCACCAAGGTTGACAACCTGAATTCAATCACTAGGACTCTCACAATAGAAGAAGAGAACTGACTCCAGCAACCTGTCCTCTGGCCTAAATGTGCATATGTGTCCTCTGGCCTACATGTGCACACTGTGGTACATACACACAAATAAATGCTTTGTAAAAGTAAAGGCTTCTGTGCTTTGTTGGCTGACATTAGTTCTTCCCTTGATTATCTGAAATGAAAAGAATGGGGACCTCCGACTTACTTGATTGAGTTTCTGAAATGGTCTTCAGCTGGGTTTTTCACAGTGCAACTGTTCAGGAGCCACAAATCTGCATCTGACGCATTTTCTAGTAAAAGAAACAGCAAAACAAAAAAGAAAAGATAAATATCACATTTAATCAAATCAAAAACATGTGCCTACCCAGGCAGCATAAGAATGCTGGTAGACAGGGGAAAGCAGAGTGGACAGTTCTAGCACTGCCAGCCAGAGCTCAGAGGTCAGATATGGTCTGGGAGCCTGTGAATGTCAGGGAACCTACATGGAACTTCTACTTTAAGACTGTACTATTTAAGGTCTTTCACTATTACAAACAGTGCTCCAATGAACGTGTGTGAGTGAGAGAGAGAGAGAGAGAGAGAGAGAGAGAGAGAGAGAGAGAGAGAGAGAGAGAGAGAGAGAGAGAGAGAGAGAGAGAGAGAGATTGTGTGACTGCTTTTTCCCAGGTTTCCTTTGGTATCAAGCATAAAACAGTGGTACTGTTGAGTTCAAGGAATAACCGTTGCAGTCCTTTCACACTGTGAGACTCACTGAACAGGGTATATCACTGTACATCCCGAGAGACAGAACCTGTGAATGCTATTCACAAACCTTACCTACTAGATGAGTTGTCACCCCTTCAGACTCTAGACAATTTGGTAGAAAATGGGATGTCAGTGATAGGTCCATGTAAATTCCTCTTATTGTAACTTGTAAAATTTCCCTGTTTAGTTTTAAAGTTTTGCTTTCTTTTTCTGCCTTTCATTTGTTCTTCTGGGCTACTTAAGACTTATGGAGGCATTAATGATGTATCTAGGAAAGAGATCACAACATTATTCTCAATTCTTTTTTTTGGGAGGGGTCAGTTTTCATAACACTTTTCTATTTCTAAGGCATCAAATTGGTAATCATTTTCCTCCTTGTTTTTTCCCCCAATTTTGTCTTATAATTGTGATTCACAATTAGGACACTTCCCCTCTACCATGACTGGGTGGGAATGTACCTGTTCCCTTCCAATAGACACATAATTTTGCTTTTGATTTCCGATGTTGTACACTTACACTGATATACATGGCTCTTATTGAATATTTTTTGTAAAGTGAAATAAGTGTTTACATTTTCCTATCAAGTCAGAAAACATTTTAAATATGATACTATTTAATATAAGCAAAGCAATAAGGAAAACTTGAGACTGTTGCTCCCTCACTGCCAGGAAGGCAAGGTAGAAACAGCACTAACTCCTATCATACACATATACATAATGTATAATAATATTTTCATTGATGATTAACAAGATAAGAACTAGAAAGCATATATATATATATATATATATATATATATATATATATATATTTCCTTTAGAGAAAGATGGCTTAAATAAATAGGTGACTCATAGTTTGGATCATAAGTATTCCCCAAAGGGCAGTGTGTTAAAGCATGGACACTGACATGCTTTAGGTGATGGTAGACTTATTAAGCAAAAGTAAAGCTATGAGATGTTAAGGTTTAGATAAGAAGTCTGTAGAAGGCTAAACACTTGATCCCCATCAACTAACTAGTCCTATTTGGGAAGGTTGTGGAACCTTAAGGATGGGTCATTGATGGAAGAAATGGGTCACCAAGGGTCAAGGCATGAAAGCTATAACTGACCCCTGCTTTCAGGCAGTTGCAGCTTATTTGTTTGATTGTTTGCTTGTTTTTATTTGTTTAGGTATGTGTGCATGTGGGTATGTGTGTCTAAGCACACATGTATCAGTCAGAGAACAACTCACAGGTGTCAGTTCTCCTCTACCAAGTGGGTTCCAGGGAACAAACTCGGATCATCAAGCTTGGCAGGATGCCATCTCATGAGCCCCAGATCTACCTTTTCATTTTCTCTGATTTTTAAAACCTTTCATGAATGCTCATTTTTTATTTACTCTTTAGAGACAAAAGAATGTTTAATTTATATTATCCCATACTGTTTGAATTTTTATTCTTATTTTGTGTACACATGTGTTCATCTGGTGGGGGTATATTCATAAGAATACAAGCGCCCACAGAGTTCAGAAGAGGATATCACATCATTCTGGAGTTGAAGTTATAGGTAGTTGTGAGCTTCCTGGAATGGTGCTAGGAACCCAAACTTGAATCCAGTACAGGCTCTTTAACTGCTAAGCCATCTCTCCAGTCCCTAATACAGAATTGTTTTCAAAAATAATACATTTGTTTGTGTTTGTTTGTTTGTTGGCAATGAGAGACTTGTGCCACTGTGTACATGTAAAGATAAGAGAAAAACTTGTGAAAGTCTCTAGTTCTTTCCTGATATTACATAATAGGGATCAAACTTAGGTCATCAGGCTTTAGCAAATAGTAAGCCATGTCACTGTCTCTACTTGACTTCTATTACATTTATTGTGTGCACATGTGTGTGTGTAGGTCATGTAGAGGTCAGCAGAGAGCTTGCAGAAGTAGCTATGGAGACTTCTTGGCACCAGACCACTGAGCCACTCACTGGCCCTGCCTGGCCTGCTTTCTTTTCTCTTGAACTGATAAACCTACTTCATCTTCGTTGATGCCTTCTTATAATACTTAGAATCACTCATTTCCTTTCACCGTAAGGTAAGAGCTTGAACCACTGTAAGGTAAGAACTTGAACCATCTTGCTCTGTGATCTAGCATGGAAATACAGACCTGATACATGTCCCCTGCTAAGAGCCGTAGTCACTGAACCAAGATAATGATGGTCACCAACAAACCACACACTCTGAGCATGAGGAAAGAAGGACAAATATTTGTTTTAATCAAAATGTACTTAGTTTCTAAATTATTTCTTTACACACACTAGAAATTGCTTTTAAGTCTACAGTAATTAAGCCATGATTGGTAATAATGATCATCATTAACATTATTGAATACATATTGCATGTAGCCCTGCACCTTTAAGGAGAGTTCAATTTTATTCCCATTGTCAGAGAAGGCACCTCAAGCTTAGAAAGGAAAAGTAACTTTCAGACAGTATCAGTTAAAGGATGGGCAAGGATTAGGAGTCCAGACAAACTGACTCCACAGACTGTGAGCTTGAAGAAATCAGCATGTCTCGTTAGTGGTTTTCTACCTCTTGACCAAAAATAATGGAGAGTGTATCTAAGGACAACACCAAGTAACGTGACTTGGCCTTGAGATTGTTAAATGGTGTTTCTAGGCTTCAAACACAGCTGTCCCTGCATTTCCAGTATCTCTAAGATTTTTTAGTAGGACGGCTTTGGTCTGCTCTCATCAAAGGTGGGCATAGAAGGAAGTGACAAGAGACTTGGTAACAAATATGAGTTATTATCCTGACGCCAAACATGCCTTCCAGTCTTCCTGCTCCCTGCAGGAGTCAACATGGCACAATTTACCACCATGCAGAACAAAGCATTATTATTATACAACAGTTCCATGTGAGAGACACCAGAGGATCAGGAAGGAACAGTGAGAGGCATATACTCATGGACTTAAATGCAGAGGGCAACCAGGCTGATGCAAACTCAAAGTTCACAGAGAATAACACGAAGAGGGAAAAGTTTGATGGTTTTGGCCCCAAAAGCATTTTTTGAGAGTTTCTTCACCACAGAACTCTGGAAGACAAGTCAAGTCCAAACAGTTTAAATGTGCATTAGGCTTACTCAGAGCTGGGAGTTTATTTACATGATACAAATCATGGAGAACCATTTAAAAACTTTGAGAGTAAACTATGTGTTAATAAAAGAACTTAAATGTTCCGTAAGGTATATCTTGAAAACAATAACTTCTTAAGGCCAATAAGAGATAAATAAAAATGTTGGTCATGAGTTAACTTTTCCTGTTCAGTTCACCCACTATTCATTTTGTGGCCGATATAATGGTATGGAGTACCCGTGCTTCCTAAGCCGTTTTAGAAAAACAATGAAAATGACTCATTAGAGAATAGTCTCCCTTGGGTAATTAGGGTTAGGACAGTGTGAGGACAAGGAGAAAGGATCGGAGAGAAGACAAAAAAAGGACAAGAGACATAGAGAGCTGAGAGAACCCAGACTTCCTTTCTCCTTCTGAGCAGGAAGAGGCCCTCAGCTCCAGAGTGATGGTCATTGTGAGAGTCCCTGTGTAAAACCAAATGCAGGAGGTCTTGAGGACAAGTACCTTCTCTTAAAGGTTACCCTCATAATGAATTTGTTCTTTCGAAATACTCCTACTGAGTGAGTGTTTCACAAAAGTAAGATGATGGAACTAAGAGTCAGCATGAACTCTGTTTACTGAATGAAGGAAAAATAACTTTAGGTTTAAGTGATAAGCAATAGCTGGCAAAAATTCCAGTAACTACTGAAACTTCATTCTATAAGTAAGTATCCTAATGATAATTAAAATGAAAATGCAAGACAGCCATGTACTCACTACAAAAACAAGCATTGCTAATAGTCTTTCTCCCTCCCAATAGCTATGTCGGTCCACATACATCATGACTCAGAAGTCACTGCATCGAAAGAACCCCAACAGGGCATCTATACCTCAGTGTCATGTCTGTTTTATGAACCAAGGGCCTTGTGGCCTGATCCCTGAACTGTCTAGTAAGCAATTTTTCCTGTCATAGTAAACCTTCAAAGCCCATGACTTAATAAATAAAAGTCCAAATTACAATGTGATCTTTACATTTGTATATTCCACATAAAAAAAGCTTTTTTCATATATCCTAAAAATGATGTAACAAAAGGACTTCTACTCAGCTAAAGACCTAAATAACCCAGAGACCATCACTCACTTGCAAATTGCCAAAAACATCTGGTTTCTGTCAGACTGTATACACTCCCTAGTTGTTTACCACAAATCAGTAACTCAAGTCGTTTGTTAAGAACAGTATGTTTCCAAGATCAGAAACAACCTGAATGAAATGCAGGGAAGGTTAATCTAAGAGTCACTTCTGGAGTTGACCTAGCAAGTCTAGAGGGTCAAAACAATTGCCAATTTGAGGAGATGAGGGTGGGGATTGTCATAGGAAATGGCAAGATAAGGAAGATTCATATGGTATTTGAAGACGGATACCATCAAAGATCTAATAAACAAAATGACACTGATTATGACAAACAAGACCAAGAGACAGTACAGTCAGCAAAGCATTCACCATCCAACTATGCAGACCTAAATCCCATTCCAGAATCCACAGACTAAAACCAGGTATTGTGGCACACATCTTAATCCCAACATGAAGAAGATGAGACAGGCATATATATTCCTGGAACTCAATAGCCAACCATCCTAGCCTCACTGGCAGGTCCTCAGAGAACAAGGCGGAATGACAAGCTGTAACAAGCCTGTTTTTTTTTTCTTTTTTCTTTTTATTTTACTTTTAAAAAGTAAACAAAGTCATGGGGGCGTTGCTTTTAATCCCAGCACTCAGGAGGCAGCGGCAGGTGGATCTTAGTGAGCTAAAGTTCTAGGCCAGCCTGGTCTACAAAGTGAGTTCCAGAACAGTCAGAGAGCTCTTACACAGAGAAAACCCTATCTTGAATTCCCCCACCTCCAAGAAAAGGTAAATGCAGCCAGGCGGTGGTGGCGCACGCCTTTAATCCCAGCACTAGGGAGGCAGAGGCAGGCGGATCCCTGTGAGTTCAAGGCCAGGCTGGACCGACAGCCTCCAAAACAATACAGAGAAACCCTGTCTCGAAAAAAAAAAAAAAAAGGTGAATGCAGCTAAGGAGTGACATTGGAGTTTGTCCTTTCACCTCCACATCTACAAACATACACATATATGGACCAACACACACACACACACACACACACACACACACACACACACACACACACACACACACACACACACACAAAGAGCAAAGTAGTTAAGGCAACTTTGATTTCTCAATACTCAAGCCAAACCCACACTAGATATTTTAAGTGACTCCTAGAAAGAAAGAAACTTAGCAATACAGTGAAGGGCTGTTGATTTGATTGAGTTGAAATTCATCACCAAAATCAGCATACCATGACAGCTGTAAGAACAAGCATATTTTATCAGTCTCAGACAAAGGGAAATAACCATTTTTTAAAAGGTAAAATGCTGCATTATACATCTACTTTAGGTGCTCAAACCTGTAAACAAAGCACTCAGGAGGGTGAGATTGAGGCCAACCTAAGCAACAGAGTAAGTTCCAGGCTAGCTTTGACTACAGGGTGAGACACTATCAAAAACAAAACAAAACTTAACAAAAATAAAACACAATACTTGGAAAAGAATGACTATTTAGAAAACCTTATGCATTTGTCACAATACCTCAAAACCTCTTACAATAAAAAAATAGGAAGAATTATCTCAAGATCATTAAAAATAATTGGTAAAGATAACCAAAGTAGACTGCGTCTGATAGAATGTCTTTCTAAGTGAATGCTAATAAACGTAACGCCAAATGTAGCCTTTGGATTTCAATGCTAGCTTGTGGATGATGACAATCTTACTCTGGAAGCTGTGAAATGGCTTAGCAGAGTACTTGTTCCTCTTACCGAGGCCTGGATTGTACTTCCCAACAACACCAACAGTGGGCAACTCAAAAATCATTGTAACTCCAACCCAGAGGATACAATACCCTCCTCTAGCTGCCATACATAAACCCACACACGTTTATGTTTAAAAATACTTTTACAAGGACAGGCTCCAAAACAATACAGAGAAACCCTGTCTCGAAAAACCAAAAAAAAAAATAAAATAAAATACTTTTACAAAAATGTTTTTATTTATTTTGATTACTTGACTCAGTACATTTTCTTACAACAAAGTCAAATACAATGAATTATAGTCCCAATTTTGTATCAGGAAAATAGACAATATAAATGTTAGATTTCAATAATAAAATGGTAAATAATCAGATGTAAAAATGGTCAAGATATCTAAATAGAAACTTGTCCAAAAATATGCAAATAGCCAACATATAAAAAGATGCTCCCTTCAGAGAGGCAGGTAAAAACCACAGTGAGACTGTTTCACATCTATAGGGATGGCCATGATTTTTAAACCTGTTTTAAAGATGTGTTAGCAAAGACAAGAAAACTCTAGAACCTAGGAAACTCTCACGCTGAGGATCAACTGTAAAAAAGCTTTAGTTGCAATGCAAAATGGCTTTCTGGTTCCTCTATTAAACACTAACTCACAGTCCATCAAGTCGCCCTCTGAATGTCTACCCTAGAGTTATAAAAACATGCTCTCATGGAACTTTGTACAACAACATTCACAAAGGCCTGATTCCCGAGAGTGAGAAAGTACAGAAAATATAAATATCCATCAACTGATGGATGGGTAAATGCAACCCAGAATATACAACATAATATTACTAAACATGAAAAATGGGGTGCTGAGAGGTACAACAACACAGATGGATATTCAAGTGCTATGTTCAGTGAAAGACATCAGTCAGAAAGTGCACAAACCATGACCTTATTCCAAACACAGGTCCAGATGAGATACAAACACAGAACAGAAAATAAACTGGTGACTGAGTGGAGCTGGGGAGGGAGAGAAGGGAAGACAGTATGATGACCTATAGTTTATTTTTGAGATAATGAAAGTGGTTTTGTTTGTTTGCTTTTTTGTTTGTCTTTGTTTTTGTTTTTCCAGACTAGGTTTTTCTATGTAGCAGCCCAAGCTGTCCTGGAACTCTCTTTGTAAACCAGGGTGGCCTCAAACTCACAGAGATCCACCTGCCTCTGCCTCCCCACTGTTGGGATTAAAGACATGTGTCACCACTACCAGTGAAATTGTTTTTAAATTGACTATTGCAGCAGAGCAGGGTAACTCATGCTGAAAATAGTCTAGGGTGCACAGAAGTCAGAAAGGAAACTAGAGAAACTATTAGAGCAGATGCTGAGGATGAGCTCTGATAGACAATTTGATATGTCTTCCATGGTATCTTCTTGTTCTAACATTAACAAAGACCAAAGATGATAGCACTGCTTCCCCTAAAATACAGAGTATCGATTACAAAGAAATTAAACTTACTATAGGAACACAACAACAACAAAAAATCTGTTTTCCATAAAGGGTTATAATAAATGTTTATGCATAGGCATGCCTAAACCAAAAGTAAAAGGAGAATGTTTTTAAAATAGATTAACAAGAATCTCACCAAAATATAGAGGGTACCTACTCACATTTACATAAATATCACTCGTGTTCTGGAAATCAGGTTTCCCTAGATTCTGAAGCATGTGGCCATGAGTCTATGCCTGGCAGGTGAGCCTTCTTCCCCAGGCCTAAGCTCTGCATCTAGAAGTTTCTACAAATCTACAGACATATTTTCTGCGTGGTTCTACTTACTCAAAACACCCAATATGGGATCTAGCAAGCAGAGGTTCTAATTCTGACTTGAAAAGGGCTATTTCAATAGTTAGGAGATAAGAAAGTAAGTGGTGGAATGTGCTGTTAATTATGGAGAAACTGAGACTCAAATGGAAAAAATAAAAAGTTAGTAACTACCTAAATATGTTCTATGAGAAAAGAAAGAGGTGAAGGTTTCTGGTCTATAAAGCTAATAAAAACAGTGATTCCAAAAAAGAATGGAAGCTGTAGTGAGGGCAAGTCAGAGACTAGGAAGGTCAGTTCTCTCTGTGTCCCCTGTCCTGTGACAGACGAAAGCAGGACTATGCCACAAGCAACTGGAGATGCCTGAAGGAACTCAGAAAAAAAACAGCAACATCTTGGGTAGGAAGACTACTATATTCCATGGGCAAAAATCATCAAGAAGCCAGAAATGTGCAACAGGAGCATAATAGGTATGCACAACTTCAAAATAGGAGTGTTTACTTTGTTGAGTAATGGTGACAGAACAATGAGCCTCAAGTAGAAGGGAAAGCAAAACTTATGCCAATCTCTTCTCTGAAGTCTGAGTCAAAGGGAATTGCCTAGAAGTTGCAAGTGCAATTAAAACGCTTAACTTGATTCCTTATATATTTCAACTTTGACTAAGTAATAAATCAGAACTAAATAACCACATTTGCATAGCATTTTACCACTTGCAAAGCATGTTCAAATACATTATCTGATCTGAGCTCTACAGCTTACAGTATTTTTAATCCCCATAGTGCTGATGAAGAAGCAAAGACAGAAAGAGATGTTGTAACTTGCAAAGAGGTCCCCTAAACTGGAAACTGAAAAGTGGGGCAGGGCAGGCTGTTGGTACTTCAAGCTAAGGCACACACACTGAATCTATCTCCCATCTAGGGCTAGCTACAGTGACTCTGGTTTTCATGACTTGCAAGTACAGGGATTTTATCTTTGTTTTTGTTTCTCTTATAATGTCTAGATCAACCAGGCTTTTCACATTTAGCCAGTGGATTATAGTATGGGGGGTTTTAATTGAGTATAATAAATTCTACATTTAGAATGTTACAAATGATATCTGCTTTTCAAGAAAAGGCAGAAAGAAGTAAACATGAAGAGCATGCAACTACGAATAAATCAATCAGAGTTGGAGGGATGGTCGGTTAGTAAAGAGGTACTTGGTATGCAAGCAGAAGAAACAGAGTTCTATCTGCAGCACCCATGTAAAAGTGCTAAGCATGGTGGAATGCATTTATAATCTCATCACTGGGAAGCAGAGGCAGGAGAATATCTATGTTTGCTGGCCAGCAATTCTAGACTAATTGCAAGAGAG